GGCCCATGGCCCGTGTAGATGCACAGTGTTGTGTAGCATATAATAATAGTACAAAATATTAGCCAAGAAGCGATTTGTTTTCTGGTGGCCTTCCGAAATTCTCGCACCCGTTTTGAAATTTCTTCTCTTTGTAAACTTCAATGGCAAGAGGACAACGTAGCCATGGTAGCTTCTTCTTCAACCCACAGGTTTTGTGTGCTTTTTTTACTCCAAGATTGTCCCTTTACCTATCTGCCTTGTTTCTCACAATGTGTGAAGTTTAATATTCATGTCTCGTTCGAAATTCAAGATTCTTTCTTTATGTTTTTCTACCCTCTTATTTTGTTTAATCTATAGACACTTGTAAAATATTTGCATTAGTTCATTTCTACCTCTTTATGCGTGTTTGTGATAGTTCTTGGTGAGCTATGGTGTAAAGCTTGGTTCTTTTCCAAGTTTTTCAGGTGAAAATGGCCACCACTCAGATTTCTGGCTTTTGGGGTTCTATTCTCTGAGAAAAGAAAAATAAAGAGGTGGTACATTGTGCATTGACTTGTGTACCCGCCTTTTGCATACGCTGCTTTTGTGGTTTGCCCCTTAGGTGAGCTCTACATAGAACAACATTTCAGTAAGTAGTGTCACACTGCCACTTATAATGCTATCAGTTATTTCAATCTTTATTTATTTATTTATTTAAGTATAGGAACACCTTTTCTGTTTGCACTTTGCAGTGACCTTTTTTAATTTTGTGGAGCAAAGATTGTGAAAGTTCATGTGTCCCCTTTTTCTCATTTTCCTCATTTGTCACTTTCATGAGTTCATCTTACTCAGCTATCTAATACTTTCACATGTTTAAATTTTCATCCTTTTTAAAGATGGAAAATTAGTATCATATCTTATTTTGGTCTGTGAGAACTGAGAAGACATATTTTCATGTGAAGGAAGAATTAGGTTCAAATCTCATAATGTCTCTGTAAATGCCCTTTAATGGTTTTCAGGTTAACATTGCAACTTTTTTTTCTTTCTTTCTTTTTTTTTTTTTTTTTTTTTTTTTTT